ACACACGTACGTATGTATGCACGCATGTTTATGTATAATCACAAACAAACACACACCACATATAGAATCTAAAGAAAAGCAAAGGTACTTTATTACCCACTGAAGCTTTGGTTTCCTAAGCCCAGTGTGGAGTTCAATTGGATGCTGTGGATCCTTTTATTTTTTTAAGCCAGAGATGTCTACGGGCCCTACAATTAAATAAGCCAAAGGCCTGCTCTCCCTACCTCTACCCAAAGTCAAACCTCAGATCTTATCATGACACTGTGGTCTCTCCCTCAGAGGAGAAAGAGCCATATGAGAAGAGAGAGATGGAACTTGCCCCCAGCGCCTTGATGATCTGTTCCAGGCCCTTCTTGGGTGCAGCGCCTTGATGATCTGTTCCAGGCCCTTCTTGGGTGGGAGGTGAGGAGGGTGTGGTGGGAAGGAAGGAAGGGGACTTCTGAGGAAGCAGACGCTCCTTTAAATCTTCTCTTTCCTTGACTTCCTGGGCATCACACTCTCTCAGCCGGCCTCTCCCTGCCTTCTGCACTGCTCTTTGTCCTCGGTTTCCATTTTGGTTTTTGTGTCTCCTAGTGTTCTGTCACTGGGCCACTTTATGTCCTACCTGGATTTTTCACTTGTATGCAGGGCTTCAGCTGCCAACCATGCATTGATGACTTTCAAGACTGTTTTTCACGTGGGTATTCTGTAGATAACTCATATTTAGCATGTTCTAAGCACAATCCATTAGCCTCTTCCTCACAAACCCAGTCGGCCTCCTCCTATACTTATTGTGAGAGCAGTAAGAGGTAATCCCTTCAGACTCTCCAATGTAAAGACTGGCTATGATCTGAGTCCTCGCTGTACTTTATCACCTCCTGTTGCTTCTCCCTCACAGTTGATTTGGGATTTCAAATGCAGTGCCCCTGATTTCATCTCTTCACCTTTTTGCCAAATAATTGCTTCAGTGCAGAGGCTTTTGGCTCTGGAGTCAGACAGATCTAGATTTGAACCCTGGCTCCACTGCTTACTAGCTGTGCGATCTCTGACAGGTTACTTAACTTCTCTGAGCCTCAGGCCTGTACAATGAACCCAATAGTTGCAAGCTTATGGGGTTATTTGAAGATGAAAGAAATGATACATTTAAAGTATTATATATACCATCTTGTCTGATAACTCAATACATGTTCAGTCATGATTGATTTTATTATTGCTTCTTATGACTGCTGTGAAGATGAGATCAAGTCTATAAAGACCTATTTGTCAGTCTTCACGTACCTAACAAGGTCTTTCCCCATCTGACTCTGTCCTTCCTCTGCAACCTCACTCCCCATGTTTCCTCTTCCTCAGTCAGATGACACTCTTCTCTCTCCAATCTGAATATGCCACACCCTTTTACAGTTCTAGGCATTAGATGTTTTTCCTACTCTTTATCCATTCGTCTATTAAGGTCATGCCACCAGGGAAGCTGGCTTCCCAGGTCCTTTGGTGACAGTTGATGACTTCTTTCTCTATACACTGTGGTACTTGTGTGTAACTTTGTTCTAATACTTACTGAGTGGTGATTTACCTGCTTCTATGTTTGCTCCCTCCATTAAACAACATGTTCCCAAAAGAAGGACTTGTGTTCTGATCATCACAGCCCAGTGCCTCGCATGGGGGGATGCTTGGCATTCAGTAGACATTCAGTTAATGGTGAATAAAGAACTCTGCAGTAAGTCCAGAGAGAACTTTCAGAAATGTTTCCACATATTGGTATTGAAATTAGGGCATAGCCTCCCAAGCCATCTCTTTGAAAAGGACAGCATTGATGTGGATGTTTAATATCAAGTACGTTTATAAAGAAGTCTTTCCAGCCCTGGCTGGTTTCGCTCGGCGGTTAGAGCATCGACCTGTGGTCCAGAGAGACCCGGGTTTGGTTCCCGCTAAGGGCATGTACCTTGGTTGCAGTTTGTCCCCGGCCCTGGTTGGTCGTGCGGGTGGCGGCCACTCGATGTATCCCTTTCACATTGATGTTTCTCTCTCTCTCTCTCTTCCTCTCTCTCCCTCCCACTCTATCTGAACAAAAAATGGAAAAATGTCCTCGGGTGAGGATAACAAAAAAAAGAAGTCTTTCTAGTGAATCTGTAGGTACCTGGAAGGAAAAGCAACCACACTTTGTTAACTGCTCCTTGGGTTGAAATATCTGATACCCTGTGATCAGCCCTGGGTCCCCTCTGTGCAGACAGCACGGCACAGGCTGGAGGCAGATGGCATTTTTGAGATGTCATTTGCAGTTGTCATAGTGAATGAGCAGAAAGGAAGGACGAGAAAGGAAACTTGCCCTTTCTCATCTCTCCTTGGGTGGCAAAGGGGTCCCGAGTGAGAAGGAAATTTGCTTTACTGGCAGCTCAGAGAGAAGGTGAAGGGTGGGATGTTTCCTTTTCCTTCTGGACCAGGTAGTGAGTTAGCATCAGAGGGGATGTGAGAGTGAGCGTGGGAGCCCAGAGCTCGAAGGCTTTGAAGGGTGGTGGAGAGGGAAGGGGCCAGGGATGCTTGGGGCTTCTTTAAGCTGATAATGGATTGGTGCCAACATTATCTTTATGCTACCCAAGGGAGTGAATGGATAGGATCGTTGACCTCTTAGGGTACCCGGGTCCACAGCTGGAGGATTTCTTTGATTTCAAATTCTCTGTGCTCTGGGGAGGAGTACTGATGTGGAGAGAGCTGCTGTAGAGTCAGCCGTAGGTGATCCTCTAGTCTAGTGTCTCTCCGTGGGCTTGCCTGCTTTCCTCGCTCTGCCTCCGTTTACTCTCATTTACCTGTAACTGACCTGGACTGACCCAGGACCAGGTAATGTGGGACATAGAATCACCATAATGCTGCCAATGGGATGACTGAGTAAAGATGTAAAGTCTTCCGTGGGAAAGGAGAGCAGTAGCCCAGAGTTTATCTGAAGGTGGCGTTGGTTCTGAGTACAGGAGAAACGAGCCAGCCCTCCGGTGTCTGAAGCGCGGGCTGCCTTTTCCTCTTGGAGACTGGGAAGAGATTTACTAGAAAGGAGGGACAGGGGCTGAGTGGAGGAGAGCCATTGTCTTTTTTAAAATTTATTTTCTTGTTTTAAAAATTAATATATTTTCGTTACGATGTTTCTCCTTTTTCCCTCATTGACACCCTCCTCCTGATCCCCCTGCCTCATGCTCCATCCCCAGCATTGCTGTCTATGTCCGTTGTGGTTATGCATACGTGCATATAAGTTCTGGGGTCTATCTCTTCCCTCCCCCCACCCGTGTCCCCCTCTTCTGAGGTTTGTCAGTCTGTACCCCACATCCATGTCTCTGGGTCATCAGTTTGTTTTGTTCATTATATTCCACACAAATTTCTTTTCAGTTACAGTGCATATTCAATATTATTTTGCATGTATTCGTTTCAGGTGTACAGCATAGTGAGGGGGAGTTATCTTCCTCACTCTTCTTGATGGGAGTCTTTCCTTGGGTTTTCCAGAAAAGAGAGGCTGAGGCAGAGGGCTCATATTTATTATACAATAGGCTGTGATGTCTCCGGGAGCCGGGTGAGGGTGAAGGGGATGAACAGGGATGGAAGAAGAGCCCATATAAGGATGCCTTGTTGCACTGGGTCCACGAAGTGCAAGGCCTTTGCTCCATATGTGTATCAGAAACCTGAGGCCTTTCTAGGACTGCCCTTCAGGGAAAAGAAAGATGGGGGAAGACTTACCCACTGTCTCCCTCCCCACGGGGTGTTAATTCCTCTGCACTTCCAGGTTGCATGTGCTTGGGTGTGGGTACCCCAGCAGGGAAGCCCCGGAATGGGAGACAAGACACAGCCATACTGTCAAAGCCCGCGTAGGGATGGAACAGGGAACAGGTGAGGCTGAGAGATTCTGAAGACTCTATAAGGGGTGTCTGGTTCAGTGGGAAAACCTGAATGTAGACTGCAGAACATTCCTGTTTGGTGAGATGAGGATCCCCTCCTCCAAGGGTGATAGTGTGGGAACTTCTATCTGGAGGAAATTTGATTCTTTTTTATGCTATGGTAAATAAAATGGTTTTTGTTTTCATTTTAAGATTGTTTCTTGCTACTGTACAGAATACAATGGATTTGTGTACATTGACCTTGTATCCTGCAACCTTGCTGAGTTCCTTTCTTAGCTCTGATTATTTTTGTGTGTGAATTCCTTAGGATCTTTTTTATAGACAAGATCATGCCATCTACTAATAGAGTTAGTTTTACTGATCCACAGGACATTTGATTTTAAATAGGTAAAAAGCTACATCCTTGTCCTCTTCTCATCCGAACAATTTCCTAGGTGGTTCACTGGGGCCACTGGAAACTGCGTGACCTCAGGGAACCAAGACCCTAACAGGGTTTCCCATGTTGCCAAACTCATGACATGAAATGCATGCAGAATATTTAAAAGAAGCAGAACAGCTCGAAGGGATCAGTGGCTTTGTGATAGAGCAGGATTAAATAGCTTTGGTACAGGAATCCCAGAAGTATCCAGGGACCTGTGAGAATTCATTGAAATTTCCCCAACCTGCTCCCGAGGAAAGTCCAGAGTGGTGATGCATTTCATTTCCCTTCTGGGAGCAGCAGTGACCTGGAAATAAGAGTGCTCCATCAGCCAGTGCCAGGAAGGAGCAGAAGCAGATGGTACCTGTGCAGCCGCAGGGGAGCTTCAGGGCACAGCTCTGGGCCTCCTTCCATCCCCATGACTAGAACACTGGTGGCGTCCAGTGTGCTGTCAGACCAACCATCAGTTGGGATTCTTACTCATATTCACTCAAGCAGGAATCTTTCCTTTTCTTCCAAGTCAGGTCATTCTTGACGAAGACAAATGGGGTGACTGGCCTGGGATAGCTTGACTTGCCTGATTTGGTTTCTGAATCAGCATGAATGGTGAGCAGCAGATATATTAGCTGGGCAGATCAACTAAGTCATGCCCTGCAACGTGATTGCTATTAGGATTTTTCCAAAGCCCGCTGATGCATTTTGTGAGTGGACTATCTCTTTTTCTGTTTTAGAAATAATTACAGAAATTAAGGACGTATCAGTGTTTAATGACACCTGTGTGAGGTGGCAAGTAAACCCAGGAAGAATAAACCCCAAGATCGTATATGTGGTAAGTAAAGTGATCTACTTTTTCCTGCTAGGGCAGAAAAGGGAACCTACGGGAACATGAGGCAAGGGACTTGCCGGAAGAACCTGTCAATCTAATTATTTTCTAATCCTAGCATCCTTCAAAAAAGTGAACAGAGCCCTGGCCAGTTTGGCTCAGTGGTTGGAGCATCGGCCCGCGGCCCAGAGAGTCCTGGGTTTGGTTCCCGCTAAGGGCACGTACCTCGGTTGCAGTTTGTCCCTGCCCCAGTTGGGGTCGTGTGGGTGGCGACCGGTCTGAGTGTCTCTCTCGCGTCAGTGTTTCGCTCTCTTTCTTCCTCCCCGTCTCCCTCCTGCTCTATCTGAAGATAAATGCAAAAAAAAAAGTCCTCGGGTAAGGATAAAAAAAAAGTGAACAAATTTTTTTTTAACTATCTGGATTATTATTATGTTTTTAAAATATGTTTTTATTGATTTTTTAGAGAGAGAGAAAGAGACATTGATGTGAAAGAGAAACATCGATTGGCTGCCTCCTGCACACCCCCCACTGGGGATCGAGCCGGCAACCCAGGCATGTGCCCTGACCAGGAATTGAACCAGGACCTCTCAGTCCATGGGACTGAGCTCAATCCACTGAGCCACACCAGCCAGGCTACATATCTGGATTATTTTATTTTACATTTTTGTTTACTACATTTGTCCTTCAACAGTTTGTATGTGTGGGGATGTATTTATATTTGGTGTCAAAGCTGGTTTCCAAACACTTGTGTGTCACTCCCCCAGAGTCAGCCCAGAGCATCTGCTGACTCAGTGACAGGGTGCAGCCAGTGGTCTCAGGTTGTGACTGTCTCCACGGATCGCTGGTCATTCGTGTGCGGGGTGGCACTACCTAGAGAGACTGCTCATCTTCTGTCACTTTTTAGGGTTTATTGATTTCTGGGCTGATCAGACATCATATCAGATACCTGATAGCAGAGGTTTACCTTCCTCATCTCTCCCAGCTGAGCAGTGCAGTGTGACAGGGACAGTAGGAGAAAAGGATCCAGCACCACAAAATCTCTCTTGGTTGTTATAAGTGGAGTCATGGTGGGTTCTCTTGTCTTTTTCCCTCGCAAAGATACACGTGGAAGGACACCAGGTGGACCCTATGGAATCAGCTCATGAGGAGAGAGTCAACCTGACCACAGACAGCAGGACCCCAGAGGTGTGCCTGGATCTGTACCAAGGCACCAACTACACCGTGAGCATCTCCATGGCCCCTCCCAGGCGCTCTGTGCCAGCCGTCATTACGTTCCAGACAGCAGGTAGGTGTCAGTGAAGTCTCATTCCTCCTAGAAAATGCGGAGCACACGCCCTAGCTGGTTTGGCTCAGCAGTTAGAGCGTTGGCCCATGGACCAGAAAATGCAGAGCACAGGCAGGGGGGGATGGGGGGTGGCGTGCTTCAGAATCAACTGGACTGGGCCGGACAGTTTATAGCTTCTTTCTGAGGTCTGTAGCCAGGAGACTGTCTAGTAGCAGAGATTGCTCTCTATTGATGCCAGGGGGAAGGTACTGTTTCTCAGCTGGAGCATCTGGTTGAAGTGGTAGTAAGAAGGCATTTAAAAGAGGGTTTTAGGTGATGATGCAGTCAGTTCTCTATTATCCGAGGTAAAAGAGGGTAGACACTCGGCTTGTCTTTGGTAAGAAACACAAGTCAGGGACACAGACCAGTGGCTTTATATCTAGAAAGGGAGCTGACCCCAGGACTGGTGGGGGCTGGGTAATCACTTTGATGGTGAGCGAGTGGATAGGAGTAGGCAGTCCCAGAATGCAGGAGGGAAATGTTGGGTGAAAAGAGAAATTGTAGGAAAGAGCTTTGAGAGGTAGTAATAAACCTCATTGCACATAGTTATCACAGATTTTTGTAATACCCTTCTGACAATTATAATTTAAAAAAATAATTCTGGTTATAGAATGTTAGGACTAATTAAATACTTTATAAACAAACCTTGAGAAGCCATTGGGTTCATTTTTTAAAAATTGATTTGGAGGAGTTGAGATAGTTCTCACTTATGAAAACGTATCTCAACCTTCAGTTAATGCTGCCACCAGGAACGGGAAGGGACACAGATTTGGTAGAAATAATAAAATAGACTTCCAATCTTAACAATATAAAGCCAACTATGAAATTACACAAATTAGGTCCCTGGGTACTTGTACATGGGTAAAACAAAATGATTTATTTTTAAGTAAATAATATGTAAAAAAAGATATTATAAAATTAATATGGTAACTAATTATAAAAGCTTGTACAAAATCAATAATAAACTGCTGTGGATTTATTAGGAATATATCTTTTTTAAAAGCTCATCCCAGGACTTCAAACTCATCTTTCACTGGTCGGTCAGAATGACAGTTTGTTGTTCAGGGTCAGCTGTTTTTACTAATATCTCATTACTTCTTCAAGTTAATTTCCACTGGAAAAGCATGGTCTTTGGGGTCAGGCAGACCTGGGTTTGCATCTTAACCCTGCTGTGAAGAGTTGGGTGACCGTGGCTGAGTTGTTTAATGTCCCCAGACCACTTTCTTCCATCTGAAATTTTAAGTGGAATTGGATTAAATGCAAATTAATCTAGTGAGAATTGGGATTTAGATTGAGTCATCTCAATGGGAAACAAGGTACATTTCCACATTATCTACTTAGGTTTTGTCTTCCCTGTTTTTGCATTTTTGTAAAGATTTATCATTTTCTCCCTCTAGATTCTGCATATTCAACTATTGATTTTATTTTCAGGGTTATGCTAGTTCTCTTAAAATGAACTGGGAAATTTTCCATATTTTTTATGCTCTGGAGAAGTTTATATAATTTTAAAATTATTCCCTTCCTTTAGAGTTGGACATATTTGCTCATAAGATCATTTAAGTCTCCCGCTTTGGGGAGATAATTCTTTAATAACTTTCTTCTTTAATCAATTTCTTCTATGATTATTTTTGTCTGTTTATGTTTCTTACATTTTCTTGAGTCAGTTTTTATAATTTATGTTTTCTGTAAAACATGTCCATTTTGTTGAGGTTTAAAATATATTGGCTAAATGTCATATGGAATATTTGTTTACAACTCCTTTGGGGTTACAGGTTATATAACCCCAAGTTATTGATTCATTTATTTTTAAAATATTTTTTTATTGATTTTTAGAGACAGTGGGAAAGAGAGAGAAAAACATCAATGTGAGAGTAAAACACTGATCGGCTACCTCCTGCATGCCCCTCACTGGGGAGTGAGCCTGCAACCTGGGCATGTGCCCTGCCTGGGAATTAAACTGGTGACCTTCATTGCATGGAACGATGCTCAACCAATGAGCCACACTGATCAGGGCACCCCAGGTTATTCTTATTTCTAATTTTGTTGTTTTCTCTTTTTAAAAAATTGATTAGCTTAGCTTGGGATGTCTGTTTTACTACTGTTCTTTTCCTCAAAGAATGGCCCTGGCTATGTGGTAGAGTGGCAGCCCGCAGACCAGTTTGATTTCAATCACAGGGCACATGCTTTGGTTGCAGACCACCCCCAGCCTGGTCGGGGGTCGTGCAGGAGGCAACCAGTCAATATGTCCCTCTCATGTTGATGTTTCTCTCTCTCTCTCCCACTCTATCTGAAGATAAAATGGAAAAAAGTATCCTCAGGTGAGGATTTAAAAGAAAGAATAAACTCTTGGGTTTTTTAATTGTTTTTCTTTTTTTATCTCATTAATTTCTCCCTTATTTTTATAATTGTATCCTTCCTGTTTCTCTTGAGTTGGTTATATTGTTCTATTACTAAATTTTTGAGTCGAATGCATAATTTAACTTATTTCCATTCTTTTTTATTTGATAATAAAAGTCTTTAATGCTTCTCTCTCTCTCTTCCAAATTTGAACTTGGGCTGAATTCCTTGTGTATGAATGGGTTCCAGTTCTCTTTATTCTTACTTTTAAGGCATGATATAATTGCTATTCTGATTTTCCCTTTGATTGAAGAATAATTTATGATTGTGTAATATATGTTCTCTTTATCCTTTCTTTTTTAAAAAATTTATTTTAGCCCTGGCCGGTTTGGCTCAACGGTTAGAGCGTTGGCCCGCAGACCAGAGAAGCCAGGTTTGATTTCCACTAAGGGAATGTATCTCGGTTAAAGTATATCCCTGGTACCCAGGAACGTGTGGGTGGCAACCACTCGATGTGTCTCTCTCATGTCGATGTTTCTCTCTCTCTTTCTTCCTCTCTCCCTCCTGCTTTATCTCAAATAAAAATGCAAAAATGTCCTCGGGTGAGGATAAATCATATATATATGATTTTTTTAGAGAGAGAGGAAGGAAGAGAGAGATAGAAACATCAATGTGAGAGAAAAACATCGGTCAGCTGTCCCCTGCATGCCCCCTACTGGGAATTGAGCCCACAACCCTGGGCATGTGCCCTGACTGGGAATCAAACTGGGTCCTCTATGTCCATGGGATGACATTCAATCCACTGAGCCACACTGGCTGGGCTTTTTATCCTTACTTTCAAAGCATTATATAATTGCTATTTTGATTTCCACATTGATTGAAGAATTAATTATAAGTATGATACAAGTGGTGTTTTTAAGACTTTTATGCTTCATTGTTATTTCTAATTTAATTACATTTGGGTACTCTTTGGGTGAATTTATTGACATTGGGGGGCCAGCTCTTGGCCAATTTTTGTAATTTTTGGTTGGTGCTGGATAGTAGAGTGTTTGCTTATAGGTAGTGTAGATCTAGTCTTCAATTAACTCTATTAATAAGATTTTCTAGGACTTCTGGTTCTTTTTCAAAGCTTTTTTTGCTTGCTTGGATTGCCATTTTTCTCTTAGAAATTCTAATTGTTTCATTTGATGTTATGATATTTATGTTCATGACTAATATCTTAATTGTAGATTCTAGCTTTTACTTCTCATCTTATTTTATTTTACTCTTTTTTTTTTATGCTACTTTGTTATATCCACTGTTTTCTTTTTTGCTACACAGTTTTTTTGTTTTTTTTTAATTTTGTTCAGATAGAGTGGGAGGAAGAGAGAGAGAGAAACATCGATGTGAAAGGGACTCATTGAGTGGTTGCCACCCGCAAGACCAACCAGGGCCAGGGACATGCCCCCAGTGGGAACCGAACCCGGGTCTCTCTGGACTGCAGGCCTACACTCTAACCACTGAGCCAAACCGGCCAAGGCCACAGTTTGTTTTTCAATGATTCTGACAATATAGATTTTGCTTTTATCTTACAATACTTATTAACAAACAAAAATAATCCCATTTGAATATGTATTTCTCAGATTACCAACATTAAGACTGAAACAATGTTAACGTCTCCTTGAATGAGATGTGGAAGTTAGTAATCTTCACTTCCTTTTATCTCTTCCCCTCTCACTTCCGTTATGTTATTGTTTTAACGTGGCATTTTAGTACCAGCTTATTCCTAGTTACTTTTAACATGTATTACATCTTTAAAGAGTTCATTTTATATTGATTTATAATAATATTTATAATAATAATTTAAATAGGTGTATGTTTTAAAGGTCTCAGTGTTTATAGCATTCCAAAGTTTCATACCAAAGTTTCCAAATCTGTTTTTTTATATTTTATCTCTCTGCATGATGATTTCTGTCTTCTGCTCGCTGAGGAATGGGGTACTTTCTGAGCTCATAATTATCTGAGAATGTCTTTTGTTGTGAATGAGAGCTTGACTGAAGAGAAAATTCTTGGGCCATGACCTTTGTTGTCAGAATTCTGGAGGCATTTCACATTGGCATTGGGAATTTAAAGTTTTGAAAGAAGAATTTGAAGAAGGTGTGATTTTTAAAAATCCTATGTAGATAATCTGATTTTTCAGCCTGTATATCATAGAGGTTTTTGTTATGGGTGAAATTCAAGACTTTAATTACTTACTCAAACACATGGGAAATGTTTATTAACCTCGTACTACACGTTTGACATTGTTTTAGGTATTGGGAGTTCAATAGTGAATGAAACAGAAATCCTTTCTCTCATGAGACTTCTTTCATGGCTGATATAAATCTTAATTTTTTTTTTTTACTAAATTTTCTTAGTACCCTGTGAGTTTTTTGGATCTTCAGAATTTTGTCTGTCTACACACTAGGAACATTTTCTTTCATTAAAGCTCTGATGATAGATTTTTTTCCCTTTCTTTTCTTTTTTTTCATTTATCTTCAGATAGAGTGGGAAGGAGAGAGGAAGGGAGAGAGAGAGAAACATTGATGTAAAAGAGACACATCGAGTGGTTGCCACCCACACGACCTCAACCGGGGCCGGGGACAGGAACAAACTGCAACCGAGGTACATGCCCTTAGGGGGAACCAAACTCGGGCACTCTGGTTCACAGGCCGACACTCTAACTGCTCAGCCAAACCAGCCAGGGCGGATTTTTCTCTTTATTTGTTCCTTTGGCTCTTCAGATACTCACTCCTATGTGGAATTTCTTGTCTGTCTGCATTGGTCTTTCATTTTTTTCTTTTTTTTTAATATCCCTGTCTTTCCCCTCTGTCTTCTATGAGGATGTAGCACGTTTGTTCTCCATATGCATTCATGCATACACGCATTGACATTTGTGATCTCTATTTCTAACACACTTTAAATCCTGTTGTTGCACTTTCATTTCCTTTTATTTCTTTGTCTTATCCAGTTTCCTTTTTATTTCTGCCTCAACTCATATCCTCTCCGCTATTGCATTTTATTATCTCACCCTTTATTTGTTTGAATCCATCTTTATATTTTTTACTGAAACTATGTAACACATGTTGCCTAATTTTGTTTAATCCCCCTCTCTTGAGAAGTATGTTCCTCTTTGCCATCTAAGCATGATCTCCTTTTTGTTCTTTGTAGAATCATTTTCTAGTCTTCACCCCCTTCTAGATTACTTATTCCTGAAGGTTAAAAATTTTATACAGGTGTGATTTTTGGGGGGCAATAAAATGGATGCCATTGCCCTGGCCAGTGTGGCCCAGTTGGTGGGCATCATCCTGCCGGTTTGATTCTCAGTTGGGGCATATGCCCAGGTTTGGAGCTTGATTCTCAGTAAGGAGTGTTCTCACAATGATGTTTTGCTCTCACATAGATGTTTCTCTCTTTTATCTCTCTCTCTCTTTAAAAAAAAAAAATCAATAAAAGCTGTGGTCCATATACACAATGGAGTTCTATGCAGCTGTAAGAAAGAAAGATCTCTTATCCTTTGAGACGACATGGAGGGACCTAGAGAGTATTATCCTAAGTGAAACAAGCCAAGCGGAGAAAGACAAATATCACATGATCTTACTTATTTGTGGAATATAATGAACATAACAGTTTAAGGAACAGGGTAGACCCAGAGACATGGAAAGAGGGTACAGACTGACAACCCTCAGAAGAGGGGATGGTGGGGAGGGAAGAGATAAACCACAGAACTTATATGCATGTACGCATAACCGATAGACATGGACAACAAAGCCGGGGATGGTGTGGGTGGAGATGGGGAGGAGGGTGTCGATGGGGAAAAAAGGAGAAACATCTGTAACAAAAATAAATTAATAAAAAAAATCAATAAAAATATTTAAAAAAATGGATGTCATTACCTTTGATCTTACTTTTTATTGGATAGTTTTAGTATGCTTATCTCAGATCTCATCTTGAAAAATTTACTCTAAGTTGGATGATCTAGTGTCCTTTGAGGAGCAGCTGTGAGAAAGCCCACTTTCCTGAGCTTTATTTCTGAGCACTCTGCTGTCTTGACTAATGACGTTGTCACTCTTGGGCCAGCTCAGCAGTGCCTGGTTTCATTATGATGTTATAGCCTATGAAGGCAGGAAAGAACCAAATCTCTCCTTTTGCCAACCCAGGCTGGTGGAACCTCCCAGGTCCTTAGGCCTCTCTTTAGAAAATCTCTAGTGTGTTAAAGAGGGACAGTAGTAGTAGTAGTAGTAGTAGTAGTACATATACTTTTTACCCTGGTTGCCTATCAGATTGCTTGATGAATTCTTAAAAATACAGATGTTCAAGTTTTACTTTAGATCTGCTATATCTGGGTGATTCTGGTGTGCAGTTAGGATTGGGAACCCCTGGGACAAATGGCTGCAGATGGGGTGTTTGTCACTTTATTGTCCTGTGGCCTGACCTTGCTTCCAGCCCCACCTCTGTGGACACCAGTCCTCCTCCAGTTCCATCCTTTGCGACTTTGAGACCATTCTCCTTCGCTTGGAAGGAATGTAGCCCAGTAGCTCTCAGTGTCTTTCTCTCTCCCCTGCTCCTTTCCACACTGTGCTAAGTGGAAATGTCTTCGTGTTTCTGCCCTGTGTGCAGCAACTGACCCTTCTCCCCAGCCCAGATGCAAATTTTGACCCATTTTTATTATTCTCAGTCACTTCTTTCTGGATTACGGAGAGGGAAGTGGGAACCAGATGCCTTTATTCATATTGCTGTCATCCCCTGAATTCAGATCCAATGGCTGTAAGTGGGGAAACCAAATGGAGATGGGAACAGTGTGGACAGTAATCTGCTTTATGTTCTGTTTGTGTACATGTACCCCCTGTGGCATTCAATGTGTTTTTATTGATTTTTTTAGAGAGAAAGGAAGAGAGAAAGAAACATCAATGTGAGAGAGAAACATGGATCGGCTGCCTCCAGCACACCCCCTGCTGGGGATCGAGCCCGCAACCCACGTATGTGCCCTGACGGGGAATCCAACCAGGACCTCTCAGTCCATGGGCCGACGCTCAATCCCCTGAGCCGCACTGGCCAGGCAGCGTGTGGCATTCTTTAACACATATATTTGATGCGCCTCGAAACCATTTGCATACACATGGCAGTTTTTGTTTCAGATGTCTTTATTTATTTATTTATTTTTCTTTTTATCCTCACCCGAGGACATTTTTCCAATTTTGGTACAGATAGAGTGGGAGGGAGAGAGAGGGAGAGAGAGAGAGAGAAACATCGACGCGAAAGGGACACATCGAGTGGCTGCCACCCACACGACCAACCAGGGCCGGGGACAAACTGCAACCGAGGTATGTGCCCCTAGCGGGAACCGAGCCCGGGTCTCTTTGGACCGCAGGCCTACACTCTAACCGCTGAGCCAAACCGGCCAGGGCTCAGATGTCTTTAAAATAAGAGTCGTGAGGATCAAGGAGAGCACAGGTGATAGGCCTTCAGATTCTCCCTCACAAGCACGTTTCCTCATTTCCAGGCGTAGCCACGAATATTTCCTCCCAGCTAATTGCCTTGTGTTGCGTATGTCGGTGATGGTTACAGTTCTGTGGACAGTTCTTATTTTGAGCAGAGTAAATTATTGTTATCATTACTTCTCAGGTAGCTGAGACTCCTGTGAGAGAAATACACATAAAAGGTCGTCATAAGAAGCTTCCCTCTGATGGGCATTTACACTTTTTCTCATTTCTAGAAACCATACAGGCCTGTTTGTTAGGAAATTTGCTTTTCCTTGAAAATTAGCCATGGTACTCCTAGACTCTCTTTGAGTTCTTTATTCGTTACTAACAAACCTCTTTTTTTTTTTTTTTTTATTACATTAAGAAAATGGAGTATTGATAGAATGATTTAGGCTACAGGAGGCATGAAATTACTTTTTTTCTGTACAGTAGTTGAATTAAGTCTGTTTCTGATTATTTTACTGCCTTAGTACTCATCTGAATAGTTCTCATGAAATACTGTCTGCTGTGAGAACACGCATCTCTCCTGGCCACCTGCTTTCTGGTCATCTTGCAGGCTGAGACACTCCCTCCGAGAGTTCTCTTCTGTGGCCTTTGCCTTAATTCCCCTTTTTCCTCTTCTCAGATTTTTCTGGCTTTTTATATGCTTATAAGCATGGCATTTTACTTACAAACTATCCAAGTGGTAGGATTAACTTTCTAAACATATCACAGCTTTATTAGTTTACAGCAATTTAAAGAAATGCATTATTTCATTTGATACTCTCGACAGCCTATGCTATAAGAAAAGCAAGCTGGATGGCTTGATTTCACAAATTAGGAAACTGAAGTTCAGAGGGGTTAAGTGACTTAGCTAAGGTCATGCAATTAAGAAGTTACAGAGCCCTGGCTGGTTTGCCTCAGTGGTTAGAGCATTGGCCTTGGATCAGAGTCGCAGGCTAGAGTCCCGTCAAGGGCAGGTACCGCACTGACAGATTCCATCCCCGGCTCTGGCTGGGGTCATGTGGGAGGCAATTAGTCAATGTGTCTCTCTTGCCTGTCTCTCCCTTATCAATATTTCTTTCTTAATCACTCTCTTTCCCTCCCTCCCTCTTTCTCCCTCTAAAAATCAATGGAAAAATATCCTCTGGTGAGGATTAAAAACAAAAAGCTGCAGAGCCAGGAACTTGAAACAAATGTAACGCTCTTGCTGTTAAACACCCTATTGGCTCTCTTAAAATGTCGAAGTATCAATTGTAGTTAGCCATGATATGTTTTGCTAAGATGATGCAACCTTTCCATATGTTCTTTTTTATCTTTTAGAAGATGACCTCTTAGAAGATGATGGAATTTTCAATATCTCGATATTTAATGAAGCTTGTGTGAAATTGAACAGGCTTTCTAGGAAAGTTGGATCAGAACAGATATACCAAGTAAGAAGGTCTCTTATGTTATTTATTAGAGAATTAGATCACTTAAAAATTTGGATGCTCCCCAAGTGAGGATTCAAAGTATTTAAAACCACTCATAAAATGAACTTCTAGACAGTTTGATTTTTGTTGCTAGCAATGGGTATGAGATGTCTGATGGATGCAAGTGAGGGACTAAAGTGAAGGAAGACATTGTATTTGGTGACTTGCTATCATTTTCCCTGTCTGATATTTTAAATGTATTAATTTAATTTACATGTAATAATTTATTTTACATGTAATGATTTATTAATTTAACTTACATGCAGTAATTTAATTTAGTGCATTTAATAATTGCAGCTTAGTTTGTTATTATTATTATTATTATCATTTTTTATCCTTACCCGAGGACATTTTTCCATTTTTTGTTCAGATAGAGTGGGAGGGGGGAGAGAGAGAGTGAGAGAGAGAGAGAGACATCGATGTGAAAGGGAGACATCGACTGGCTGTGACCCGCACGACCCAACCAGGGCCGGGGACAAACTGCAACCGAGGTACATGCCCTTAGTAGGAACTGAACCCGGGTCTCTCTGGACCGCAGGTCGACACTCTAACTGCTGAGCAAAACCAGCCAGGGCTTAGTTTGCTATTAAATTCATATGTGGATGTGGGAATTTATTAAACTGGTTGCATGGCTATTGGTCCTCATTTACCTGGACTTTCTAAACATCACAAATCTGAAGTAAAATTATGAGTAAGTTTAGGCAGGAACTGAGATTTGTTATTTTTGTGTCATATTTTCGGTGCCTAGCAAATCATCTGGCAGAGAGTAAACTGAGTAAGTATTAAATTAAAACTAAGTAATTAATTAGTTATTTACCAAAAGTACATAATGTATTAGGATCTGGAAGTTCTGATTCAAATTAATATAATAATACAATTTAAAAAATCATTACAATACGGTATAATGAGTGCTTTTATAAAAAGTAAATAAGTAGAATAGCATATTGGGTGTATGTCCAGGTACAATTTTTTTAAGCCAGAAGTAAAGATGGTGTTGAATCATAGAGAAGGAGTAGGAATTAACCAGATAAAAGAGGTGGGTGAGCCCTGGTGGGGTTGGCTTAGAGGTTGGAATGTCGGCCCACAGACCAGAAAGTCCCGGGTTCGGTTCCCGCTAAGGGCACGTACCTCTGTTGCAGTTTGTCCCCGGCCCCGGTTGGGGTTCTGTGGGTGGCAACCACTCGATATGTCTCTCTCACGTTGATGTTTCTCTCTCTTTCTTCCTCCCTCTCTTCCCGCTCTGTCTCAAAATAAATGCAAAAATGTCCTTGGGTGAAGATAAAAAAAAAAAAAAAAAAGAGGTGGGTAAGGGTGAATTCAGGCACCGTGGGCAAGCAAAGTAGCAAATTGAGTAATAGAGAACGTGACTCTCTTGGGAAACAGAGAAAGTAAGAGGAAGTAGGAAGAGATGAGGCAAAAATGTAAGCAGTGGCAGATCATGAAAAGACCTGTGTTGTGTGCTTTTGAGTTTTGATCTTATTTTGATGTCTGTTTGAGGCACTGAAGGATTTTAAGCAGGTGAGTGAAATATTTAATTTTTCATGTTAGAGAGAACACTGGTCCTAGAAACATATTCAAGTACCCACAAATTTAATATATGATAAAAATGATTTTTCAAATGAGTACAGAAATAAATGGTTCTGAGACAGTTGGGTTAACTACTTGGTTAAGAAATAAATGAGCCCTGGACGGTTTTGCTCAGCGGTTAGAGCGTCAGCCTGTGGTCCAGAGAGACCTGGGTTCGGTTCCCTAAGGGCACGTACCTCAGTTGCATTTTGTCCGCGGCCCTGGTTGGGTTGTGCAGGTGGCAGCCACTCGATGTGTCCCTTCCACATCGATGTTTTTCTCTTTCTGTCTCTTCCTCTCTCTCCCTCCCACTCTATCTGAACAAGAAATGGAAAAATGTCCTCGGGTGAGGATTAAAAAAAAAAAAAAGATTTAAATAGAAGTTGTATATACCCCAAGACCTAGCAATTCTACTTTTTAGTATATACCCTAGAGAAATTTTTGCTCTTGTACTTAAGGAAACATATAATTGGGTTATCATTACATCATTACTGACATCATTACATCATTACTTCAATAATAAAATATTAAAGGTAAGTTAAATGTTCACCAGTTGGAAAATAGATAATTGTGACATTGGGTTGAACAATATGAAATTACTGCTATTCAGCCATTTGACCTAATAAATTTAGGAAACTGAATATTATATAGGAGCTAAAAATGAATAAACTAGATCATAATAATTTACCATGGGTAAGTCTCAGAAACAAAATATTGTGTGAAAAACCCATGCTGTATATGTATGGTACAAACGCAAACACACTCAGCAAAAATCAGGTTCTTTAAGACAGAACATCTACACAGGACAGTAACTAAAAGGGTTTTAAATTCAGAACATTTTTTGAAGATGACAGAAGTATTTGTTGAGAATCAGATGCTTTCATGCTCATACTGAAAGTTGGGGTTTCCCAAAAGGAAACCACAGGGCTGTTAGAACAAGTGAACGGTTCCTGGGAGCTGAAGATTACAAATGCCCCCTTTATCATGCTACTTCCTTGTTTTTATTTCAATGTATTCCTTACTTACTAGGTGATCCATTACTGGCTATTAATCCCAAGAGAAGACAGTAAATAATTTTATGTAGAAGACCAATAAATCTCCAGAGCTAGAACAAAAAATAGATGTTATTAATTGAAAAATTTATTCCAACATTCTCTACTCATTTCTTTAAAATTCTCATGTATATAATATGAATATTAAACTTGTCTTGAGTGAAAAAAAATAAGAAATGATTATTCACTCCTACACTAAAATGATTAAATAATTAAATGGGGAAAATTGCTGTTGTATCACAATGAATAAAGCATTATAAAGAAATAAAAGAAAATGTTGCTTGTGTTAATATGTTAGAAAAAGAATAATTTAAGTAACATGTGAAACACTCTTAACAAATCTAGCAAAAGTGAACATTCAAAGGCAGTTTGCAAAAGAGAATATACATATTACTAAAACATACATGAACATGTTATGTCTCACTAGTAAGCAAAATAATAATAATAATAATAATAATAATAATAATAAATTGTGAGATACCATGATTCTTCTATAAACTTGAAGAGAGTATGTTACACACAGCCGTTGGGCACTTTAATAGGCACGACTTTTCTGGCACAGTTATTTGTTCTTTGTTAGTATCTATAAACTTTTAGAAGTGTGTTATAATGAATTGTTCAGGTATACACAGAAAAGCTAAGCTGTTCTCTGAATCATTTATAATAGAGGCAGTTGGAAACAAATGTTCATCAGTGGGGGTTGGGTGAAGTAAATAATCATACCTTCATCTGATAGAACACTGTGCAGACACGAATGTGGTCTGCTCCACACTAGACAGCATTTGCTGCTATTGCCCAATATTCCTCTCTTTTTACCTTGTTGGTTTGACCCCTCTCAATCTCCTTCATCAGATTTCCTTCCTCTGCTAATCCTTAAATCTGATTACCTCAGAGTTGTGCCTTGCCTGTTCTCTTTACGTCCTGTACCCCTCTTTAGGCACCTAACCCAGTCTCTTGACTTCCTTAATCATCTCCATGCTGAGACTCCTCAGTGTGTTTCTTCAGGCCTCATCTAGTCTGTAATCTCTGGCCTCCCTGACAAGCTACCTGTACTCTCTTTCACATGCGTCTTCACATGTGTGACCCTCCTTCCTGCTGGTCTCTTCCCCTGCCCCCACCTGGCTAACTCCTGCCCCCTTCAAGGCTTAGCGCAGTCACCTCCCCTGGAGGAAGGCCTTCATTGACCTCCTCCACCAAACACTGTTCCTGCTATCCACATTGTTTTTCCAGTTCTGACCTTTCATATTCGCAACCCCCTGGTTAATACTCATTTCTCCTTCATTCCACAATTCAGATGGGGAAGCTTCCTTTGATCACCGAAGAGGGGCGTCAGGGGTCCCTCCTGGGTGCTTCTACCACCTCATGTATTACCACACTTACCTCTGGGAGTTTTATTTGCCTGGAGACTTATTTGTGAGTTTCTTTAGTTTAGGACCTTAGTTGCCGTTTTATACACAACACTGTATACTCTGGCTGGCAAGTAATAGGCACTCTATTTACAGAATGACTTGATGACAGAGAAAACACTTTATGATCTATTGTTAAATAAAATAGCTACATTGTAAAATAGGGTCTACAGCATGATCCAGAGTCTGTAACTAGAAAGTATTTCTTTTTTGTTTATAAACTAAACGACATGAAGTTTAGGATGAGACTGATTGTAGGAATGCAGCCTACATAGTGGTGAGATTTTCTCCAGCAGATGTCAACAGTCTGAATGTACAAATGGGGAAGTCAAACATCTGGATTGACCCAGTGTTTTGAGTTTTCTAGGCTGGGTGGAATCGAGAACAAAGGGGCAAGGGCATTGAGGGTATTGGAGAAGAGAATGGCTGACATGATAGAAAATGGCATCTGAGACAGGTGAAGAAGACAAGGATGGGAGTGGTTAGAATATTAGTAGAAAATCTCGAGTGAGGAAATCTGGGGGGATTTCTCGAGAGTGATCGTGTCTAGTGGGAGTAGTCCAGAAGGTTAGGGGACTGCAGGGTCTTGGTGGAGCAACTCTGGTGATGACACAGTCTAGGATGTGGCTGTGGATCTGAGTCACTAAGGTTGAGTGGAAGGACTTCATAGCATTGAGCTCATGGTACTCTGAGGCCAGGTTTTCATAGCTTGTGTTTAAAAATCTTTAAATTACTCAAGAAAATGCTGAAAATTGGGAAAAAGAGGAATCCCCCGGTGAGCCCTGTGTCAGGGTCGCGAATGACGGGAAGAATGACAAAGATGAGGAGGGATAGGGGCTGGGATGAGCCAATGACATGAGCATCAAAGGAAACACTAAACACAGGGACATCCAGCTAAAGCACACGGATTGATCAAGGGCTGATCACATTACTTCTGGGACCTTCACATATATTTTCCTTAGAAGTCCCTATGTTGTACCTGCAACTTGAGTTGGCAGTGGATAGAGTATGACTGAGTTACCAGAGTGCAGCTAGAAAAGAGCAAGTGATATACAATTGCACGGTTGCTTTGAATTCATAATTTGGAGTAGTTCTCATAAGCTTAAAAACCGTTCCATGAGACTTATCTGTGGATTCCTTAGGAATGAAAAGAATTTAGAATAATGTTTCCCAGTAGCCTCAGGGCAGTCTCCTTCACTGGGTGGGCTTTAAGGGATTACTTTAAATAGCCTGACATTTCGTTCATCTGAGATGAAGTTATGCGTGTTAAGTTTAGTCTGTAGCCGTTTGAGGGGGGAGTTGCATAGAATAGGTAGGGTAGCTTTGTAAAGTCCTTCCCCAGTTTAGCTTGCTATTGTATTCAACATAATTCTAAGTGGGGTGAGGATAAATAGAAAGAATCTTGCTTTATCTTTATTTTGCTTGTAGTCTAGCTATCTGCAAACCAACAAAAAATTTAGTGCAACATTTTCTTTTAATCTCATGACAGTTTAAAATTCTGGGTCGAAGGTGGTATCTGAGTGATTTTTATCACGCAACATCATTTAACTTCACAACGGGGGAACGAGCTTCGGTAGTGTGTCTAGACCTGTGCCCGGCAACTGATTACACAGTGAATATCAGCCTGCTGGGATCTCCTGAGCAGCACTCAGTGCAAACAGTGGTAAAAACTGCACCGGCAGGTAGGTGTGCATGCCTTTCTGTTTGTATCTCAGGACAGCAAGTGGAGTGTGCGAACTGTACAGTGTGGGGAGCATAAAGAATGCTAGTCTAGGAGTCAAGAGACAGGGTTCTAGTCCTAACAAACTGCCAACTGTGTCTGGGGTTCAGAGTGCCTGAAATGTACCACCTCTCCCCTTCCCCGTGGGGGTTCTGGCTCATAGACCAAGAATGGAGCTCCCCGGGAGTGGTGGATTGAGCATCCTGTGAAGCCTCCTGTCTCTCGCCCCGAACTTAAGACAGCTGAGCCCTAAAGGAAGCCATTATGGACAGCTAGAGCCAGCTTCCAGGGCTCAGAAATGTGAGCTGCTCTGCACCAGCACCGGCAGGACATACAGGCCTTCTGAGCAGACCACGTGTGAGCACATTGACCCGGTAGAGAGAACAGGGGCCTATTGGAGGTCAGGTTCCTTAGAAAGGCCGCGTGGCCTTGGGAGGAAGCCACACAGAGGCCAGCTCTATCAACTCCACAGCTCTCCCTAGTGGGAAGGGACACAGAAGTCTCCACACACAGGGTCTTCTGTTCTTGAATCCATCGGGTTTCACAGACGGATTCATGGCCAGCCAGGTGGAGAGGCTGCCCCTTCTGAAGGCAAACAGCAGACTAGGATGGGCCTTGCTCCCACCTTTCTGAGCCTCTCTCACACTCACCACTGCTCTTCGGAAAAAAAGCAAAGTCATGTGGTGGTTGCTCAACACTGTCAGTGGAGTAAATGTCACTGAATTGTACAGGGTTGGGCAAAACTAGGTTTACAGTCGTGAGTATGAGAAGCACAGAGGTTATTCTTGTATTATTATTTATTAATTATTATATGATATGAACAACTGTAAACCTGCTTTTGCCCCACCCTGCATACTTCAAAGTAGCTAATTTTGTGTTGTGTGAATTCCACCTCAATTTTTAAAGACAGCTGGTGGATTAGATATGTCCCCTGGGCCTCAGTTAGCTTCTGAGTGATCACCATGACACGACCCAAGTAGAGTGTCTAGAGCAGTCCCTAGTCCATGATGATGATGACAATAACAGCTACGTTCACTGAGCACTAAGTATGTGCCAGGCACTTTCCAAAGCACTGTCCTTGGGCCACCTCAAACCTACCAAACCTGAGGAGGGCATCGCTGTTATTCTCATTTTACAGATAAGGATTGTGAGGCACAGAGAAGTGAAGCGACTAGTCCAGGTCACACACATAGTGAGATGTGCAGCTGGGATTTGAACACAGGCAGTCTGACTCCAGGGCCCTCCTTCTTAAACAGTGCATCTCACTAAATACTTCGTTATTAAAAGGAAAAAGCAAAACTGTGTTTCCAGAACCTAGTGCATAGTCCGTCCAGACTCACCTTGCTTTTTTTTTTTATCCTCACCCGAGGACATTTTTTTGTTGTTTTTTTTATTTTTTATCCTCACCCGAGGATATTTTTCCATTTTTTGTACAGATAGAGTGGGAGGGAGAGAGAGGAAGGGAGAGATAGAAACATCAATGTGAAGGGACACATCGAGTGGCTGCCACCCGCACGACCAGCCAGGGCCGGGGACAAACTGCAACCAAAGTACATGCCCTTAGTGGGAACCGAACCTGGGTATCTCCGGACCACAGGCCGACGCTCTAACCGCTGAGCCAAACTGGCCAGGGCCATTTTTTTGTTGTTGTTCAGGTAGAGTGGGAGGGAGAGAGAGGAAGAGAGAGAGAGAGAGAGAGAAAAACATTGATGTGAAAGGGACACAACGAGTGGCCGCCACCCGCACGACCAACCAGGGCTGGGGACAAACTGCAACCGAGGTACATGCCCTTAGCGGGAACCGAACCCGGGTCTCTCGGGACCGCAGTCCGATGCTCTAACCGCTGAGCCAAACCAGCCAGGGCTCACCTTGCTTTTGTCCATCTTATGCCGTGAGCATAAACCTCAAATGCCATGGATGTGTAAATGTATTCATTTAATAAGTGTTTATTTCCGGCCTACTGTGTGTCACCTGAGAGCTGACAACAGAGCAGCATGAAACAGCCCCAGCTGTCATCATGTTGGAGTCAGGGATCGGGGAGGGGAGAGATAAACAAGTAGGAGGTGCTCAGTGTTAAGATGAATTATGAAACATGGCAAAGGGGGTGGCGGCGGATGGTCAGGGAAGGCCTCTGTTACTAAGTGACATTGAAGCACAGATCTGAGGGAAGTGAGGGAGTGAGCCATGGCAGGGGGATGCCACGCAACAAGGTCTTGAGACAGGCACGTCCCTGGCGTGTTTTAGGAACATCCACTCTGGCTGGAGCAGAGGGAGCTGGAGAAAGTGGTAGGGGATGAGGGCTAAACTCTACCTTGAATATAATCAGGGGCCCCTGGTATCGCGTTCAGAAAGTAAGCCCATGGTTGCCTTCTCCTTGGCCACGTGGGCCCCGAAACGCCGGTAGTCACGATGATGCAGCATGTGCTGTTTCAGCCTCTGTGAGTTACCAAGCAATCTGGAGCCCACCACCGGTCCATTTAAACCCGGTTCAGGAGATACTTCAATCTGACACTAGGCTTCCCATACATTTTGGAAGGAGGGAAATTCACTTTCCTTGAAGATGTTAGAACTTTGCAGTGGGGGCTCCAGATCTTTCTTGGTGCCCATCCCAAGTCTTTTTTTTTTTTTTTCATCCTCACCTGAGGACATTTTTGCATTTATCTCCAGATAGAGTGAGGGAGGGAGGGAAGGAGGAAGAGAGAGAGAAACACTGATGTGAGAGAGACACATTGACTAGTTGCCACCCACACGACCAGGGTCAGGGACGAACTGCCCTTAGCAGGAACTGAACCCAGGACTCTCTGGTCCACAGGCCGACGCTCTAACCGCTGAGCCAGGGTCCCATTCCAAGTCTTTAGAACCTCTTCATTCTCCTTTCTCCTTTGAGCCCTATTTCTGCCCACTCCCCTCCATGGCTGAAGATGTTTATCTCTCTACCGAAAGAGCACCCTTTCTTTGTGGGCGGGGGTTCCCACAATATAGTAGTAGAAATAGTAGGAAACTCTTCAAGTGACATGGATTGTCTCGCATGCCCCGTCACAGTCCCAGTTTTCTGCCCTTTCCTCTCAGTGACTCTATTTCCAGAAAGATCCCAGGAATTATTTTGGTTCTCAGCTCCTTGGGCTCCTGTGATTGAATGCCTTGCCTCCAGAGTCCTGCTTCCTGGTTAGGAGGTTTCCCGTTCATCTCCCTGGGGAATTGCCCTCAGCTGACCCTTGAGCTGCGGTCCAGTTTCTGGAGCTTGTGCTTTCACTGGACTGAGAGGTCCAGGAAGTGCCCTAGGTTATTTGGTTTTTCACCCAAGCCCCACCTTTCCTTAGAAGTGCATTTCTTTTTTTTTTTTTTATCCTCAGCCGAGGACATTTTTTTGTTTTTTGTTCAGAGAGAGTGGGAGGGAGAGAGAGGAAGAGAGAGAGAAACATTGATGTGAAAGAGACACATCGAGTGGTTTCCACCTGCACAACCCAACCAGGGCCGGGAACAAACTGCAGCCAAGGTAGGCGCCCTTAGCGGGAACCAAACCCGGGGCTCTCTGGACCACAGGCCGGTGCTCTAACCGCTGAGCCACCGGCCAGGGCAGAAGTGCATTTCTAAGACTTGCCTGGAGCTGGAACACTCCTTCCTGCCACCAGTTCCTTTTCTGCACGGAAGAGAGAAGGCGTAGGGGTCAACTTCCCAGCGTTCTGGTGGGCCCAGCTGAGCTTTCACTTGTAAACGTCCATCCCAGTTGTTTCTGTTCCTTCTTTATTCCCAGGTCTGGTTAATACCTTCTATTAGATCTCAGTACTTCCCTTCCCTATATTTGCTTTTTGTTTTCACGCTTAGATTTTTGTTCTCCTGACATACTGCTTTGGATTCTTCTGGTGAGCTCTCCATGGAGAGAGGATGATGCTAGAGAATCAGCCAGTGTTCAAATAAATCCTGCCCACCTTTCCTTTCACAAGGAGGTATTTATTTATATCCCGTTCAGCCTATAACCCAGGCCTGGGCCAGATCAATTGTCACCCTTCCTGGAATCTCCTCGTGCAGCTCTGTTTTCCTCTTCTTTCTTAAGTTCTAACTCCCTGCATTTCCCAGGCAGGCTTCCTCCTGCCTGCACTACACCTGCCGTTCCCTGTGCGGGAACAATGCCACCTGGAAACGAACTTAATGATGCTTGAGGAATTCTACACCGATCTTTTGAATCTTTCTTTTTTTAAATATGTCCACATCGTCTGTAACTACATAGTATCACAATTCCAGTTATTGAGGAGTTTCTCATTGATGCTTACTTGGGGTTCCCTATTTAAAACTTTAAGGGGACCTTTCTTGATAGGAAAATACCTGAATCAGGGTGCCCTTTGGGAAGGGAGTCAATTTAGTCTTGTTCTTTAAAATAGTCCCTTTATTAATCTCTTTGATGATTTTTAGCCACTTTCCCTTACCCAGGAAATATTCCTGTCTTTTCTGGTCTCTTTAGAGCAGTTGTATTTGGATATACCTCCTTTTCCTTGTCATATTTTTCGAGTTAGGCCAATATGATTTCACATTTTCTTCTCCTCCTTAGTGTTATTTCCTTTATTTCATTCTCTCCTAATCTTTTCCTATCTGCAAGACCAAATCCTGTTTTGTAAACATATTTCACTTCTTTTTCAGAGACTGGGCAAATCTCCTTTCCAGAAACAAAGGGTTCCAGGCATACGCCTTTTATAACTTCTTCTTAACATTGGAGTTTGTAATAATTCCACTGTATTTTATCTACTTTAAGCCCAGAATAATCCCTGCTATGGAATCCCCAGGCTGGGTCTCTGTAAAATAACTAAGTCAGAGCCATTTGAGAGCCTGTGGTATTGGGGAGACCCCTGAGCCTGTAGACAAACCATGGCTTCAGTCTTTTCACAGTTCTCTCTATCCAAACAAGATGAAGAAGAACAGAATTTGGGGCAGCGAATCTAGTGTTGTCTGCTAATGTCCAGCTCCCCA